CGCATGACACACATACGTTATCGAACTGGCGAAAAACTGCACCTCTGTAACCGCTGTTTTCAATAGTGACCTCATTGTGATCGTCTGCTCGTTGTGCCCATTGGTCCTTGGTTTCTGCTTTGCCAAAGAATTGCGGAGAATTTCATAATTTTGCAGTAATTACTAGATGCCGCTTTCCTGAAATTTCGAAGCGGCAATGGGTTTTTCGCAAGAAGTACTTCAAGTCTCCCTTTTACCTTAACTGCCTAACTCCATTAAATAAAAAGCTAAGTAATTTAACTTTCCTAATAACTGTTACAAATGATGCATTCAACCCTTTTAATATGCCTGCCCCTACAGAAAAAGGAACTGGAAAGACTGCATGCAAGCAAATAGCGCCTTTTCCTGGTTTTTCAAGAATATTGGTCTTAATGAACCACCCTGTATACAAGAAGTTGTGCACAATGATTAAGCGCACCCTGACAGTTGCGATGGAGCAATCTGCATTGAACGATGATGCTGCTGCTGACGACGATGATGATGATGATAGTGAAGAAGAAGAAGAAGAAAAAGAAGAAGAAAAAGAAGACGAAGAAGAAGAAGACGAAGAAGAAGACAACGACGACGACGACGACGATGATGATAGCTTCTATATATGGCGCACACTAATTCTGGGGGATTGGCCGAAAATTCATAATACACGGGATTAGCCGACAGCAAGCCACGGGTCATCTGGGGCTGCACTAGATGGCTCCTCAGGATATCAATAAAGTTCCCTGTCCGTCCATCCATCAGTCGGTCTTCCTGTCTGTCTGTCATAAGTAAAAGTGATTAAATAAGAATTGTGTGACTAATGATTTATTGAATAGTTATAATAAATAATGATACCAGTTTACATACTCGAGACCGAAACCACCCTAATTCTTTCTAAAATTTTTCTACCGTCGAACAGAGATCTCGGTGACAATGACCTAACGAGGAGGCTCCGAAGGATAAAATATTTGAAACAACAAAATCTAATCTAATTCAATTAAAACCACTTTGAGAATGTTTCTCTTCAGTAAATTGGATCAGTTGCAAGATAAGAAGTAATGCTCGATTGTTTCATCCTTGTTACAAAATGAGTAAAGACGACTTGCTCCATTTCGTTTTCCGATCCGGTGCAGACCTGCGACTCTAGACCGGTTAAAGATGTAACAATAACGAGCCTGCATACATATTTTTTTAAACTTTATGCCATTTTTTACTGCGTGCTGCCACACGACACAGAAAATGTCGTTTAAGAGGCAGAAGTGAACAAAACCTGCTTGTGACGCGCGAACAGTGCTTATTATAGTACTCAAGACACTGTTAAAAAAAAAGAAAACGTCTGCCTAGTCGTTCTCAATATGCCACGGCTGCAAAAGAACGAAGTCAATACAAGAATCAACCGACGAAGAGCTGGCCTGTACGATGGAGCCATCGTGATTGTATGACCTGTTCTAAACTAATTACACAGAATGGTAGAAGATAAGTATTTGACGATTTTCTTGGCATTTCTATAGCGTCAAGACTGTGCACAAGGTCAAATGTGAGTGAGAACTTATTCGATTGAAAAGATCAATTCCACCAAATGTCCTTAGAGCTTTTTAATGTGACAACTAAATGGCACTATGAAAGCATGGTTTTCATCACAAATAACTTACCTTGCGATTGTGACAGGTGCATAAGTCTGTCGGCCTCAATGAGATGTCTCCTGTTGTGCTTGAAACAATGCCCAACCATAAACTGTGATATTCATCCTTGCACAATACTGGAGTTATCTTTTTCCTCATTCGACATCGTCACTTATTCCTTGCTGTTAGGAAATGGGAATCAGTCGAATTGATGATCGTTGCTTTATGTTTGCTCGCGCTGCTGAAGAGCCGATGCAATTAAACGCAGATGAATAATATATCCACTTAGCTTCTTCTGTCCTCTCACCTTGTCGTGTCGACATGTGCAATGCGTTATGCAAAATGACCGAATGTGGGGGGTTCTGTGCACTTCTGTACGTGCTTAAATATTTTTCGTGTGTAAAATATCAATAATGACATTTCGCGAACATATTATCGCAAAACATCATTAATATGAATGTTCGAAGCCGACTGTGTTTTCCGTCGCAAAATTAGTAGTTTGTTAAGTGTGGCTCAGCAGCAGAAGGCCCTCTCTTATTTTTAATTTGCGTTAGCGACATTCCGGTAAACACTACAGCCATTAATGCGTCGCTTCGCGCATGACTGCATTGTCCACGAGTAAAATGATCAATGTGCGTCATTTAGATCAAGTGCAAGGTAACTTAGCGATAAATTACAGATGCAGTCGAAAAATAATGCGCCTTAAAGGTGTTTGGAATGCAAGCTCGTTCGTAGGAATCCATATAAAGCAAAAAAAGAAAAAAGAAACAGCGACAATTTACACAGGTAAGGGACAAAAAAAAAAACGCTACCTTCGTGCGTTGTTCATTCTTTTAGCTTTACACAAATTACCCCTATGAATATCAGAAACCGCGATTCTGACAGACAACATATCTGTCTGTTCTTCGTTAGCTTAACCAAAATTTTCAGTTACTTTGACTAGTATTTTATTCTCTTACTCTAAGGCATACTCATCTGATTCACTTGGTGTGGCTACAAGGGCACAAATGTACAACTCTCAATAAATATGCGGATGCACTCACAGTAGCATCTCAGGATGGTCCTATTTTGCCGACGTTGACGATAGCATCTGCGTCACGATTTGAAAAAAATTTTCACGTCAGACAACTTTGCTAAGTCTACTTTGTCGGCAGCTGAGTTTTCCTCATCTCAATTATCATTGGGAAAATCAATGATGCTGCTACAGAGGAGTACTAATACCAGTCACCAGAATACAATGCGGAGTCTCCCCACTGAACTTTTACAAAACATATGGCTGATCTGGTACAATCACCGTTATGCCTCCATTGAGTAGCGGGTCAGAAAATTGATTCAGGCCAAGCTCTCAGCTTTCCTCTCGTAATAAACCCCCACCCCCCTCTCTCTCTTTCTCTTTACATTGCAATGAGAGTGAATCCCTCCATCATTTCTTATTAGCATGCGCATGGTTTACCAGTCAAGGGAAAAGACTATTACACAACCACTCCGAAGGTTGGACTCGAATCAATCAATTGTGGTGACTCTTGCCTTTTGAGCTTCTGCATTCAATTTCGCCTGTGTATATGTATATTATCCACGCGCATATACAAAGGCACGCATGAACGTACATGAAGTATAGCTGAAGCGTTCCCACCCTAAGTAGTTGATGCGACCACATATTCCCTGAAGCTAGTGAAGGACTATGCTGCGACGTTCGAGGGAAAGAAAATTTCTTTCCAAGTGTGCAATGAAAAAAGACAAGGAAGAGCTCTTCATGAAGCCACTTGATGGCTCCGCGTAAGATCCATATTGCTTAAACAGTTTCCGCCAATGCAAGTAGTGCTAGTATTGCGGAGTTGAATGGTTTACTTGGAGAACTACATTGTGGGAAGACATTTAAAATACACACCAACCACGAATAGAGGCAACACAAGGGCAATTCGTCCGGCTCATGTACGGGAGCTTTGTTCATCTTGAACAAAGATACCACATTGCTTTTATATCGCTTTCAATCGCGGTAGGCGTAATTTGAATCGTCTTCGAGTCCTTAACCTACCAGACGCGTTTCCGTGCAAATCTCGACCTGAACTACATTGTTTGTAGTGAAAATGAAGACATGTTTGTAAACAATGCTGTAAACACGATGTTGCTCCAGCGTCGTCACAGAGGCTGTTTTCTTTGTCTGCGACGTAGATTACTACGTAGCATCGCGTTGGCGAATGTTCTAAAAGCATCGTCCCAAGACACATTATTCATAAGGGAGAAACGTTCTGTCAGCAGCGTCAGCGTCATTTACTTTCTCTCTCCTTGTAAACCCTAATTTCAACCAGTTAATAACAAATAAAAAAAAAAAGCCACGGGCATCTTACTACGGGGGTAACTCGAGTAAATGCGTCGCAGGGTGGTGGGGGGTACCGCGTGAATGTTGCGTAATTGGGTATGGTTTGGGAATACTTAATGGTTATTTCGTCATTATTATTCTTATTAGTATTGGATGAAGGAGAAGCCTTGCCTTCAACGAGTGGTGGGACGCTGATGTTGGGTTGTACCCTGGGCCGTACCCAGAATTTTTTTCGTGGGGGGGGGGGGGGGGCACTTTCATTATTTTGGGGAGGGCACCCCCTTAAAGTGGTTATTTACCACTCTCAATGCCATGGTGAAAAAAAAAAAAATTCGGGGGTGGAGGGGGGCATGGGCCCGGTGTACTACCCCCTGGCTACGCCTCTGGTTGTGCCCCGCTATTGGTTGAAGGTACTGTTGCTTCCATCGCATGTACTCGAGTGAAGCAAAGCGTCAAGTCAAGCGAAAGCCAAGTAAAGACGCCCTTGACTGAATTCCAAACGCGCGATCCAGTGCTTACATATGCGGGATAGCCAGTGAGCGGCTGGGCAACGCGAGCAGTAGGTGTTTACTAGCAGACGCTGCTTCCATCGGCCTTGCGAGGCAAGAGAGAGATAGAGGGGGGTAGTTGGCACGAGACGCGAGCTTGTGGAACTATAGACGCGAGCATGCGCAGTGGGGGTGAGACAACACCACCGACGCTGGTTTAGCGAGTAGGTGTGGCTACAAAATTCTCCACATTTAAAAACTGAGCCGCAGTAAAGGTTCTTGAACGACCTGATGGTCACGTTTCAGCACAGCTCATACGAAGCGCCCTCGTACGAAGCACCAGCTCACTGCTTTCTCCTCGCAAAAAATATAATAATAAAAAGAAGAAAACGTTTTCTTCGGTAGATTGCAGGCTTTTCACTCGCACCAAGGCTCGGGTGTATTGCCGCTGACGATGCTATCGCACGAAGCTCTCCTTCACAGACCGCCGTCCCCCACGTAAGTACACACCACGTGGACGCATCAGGCGACCCTGCGATACGTCTGCAGGTGGCCTGAGCCGGGCTGTATCCCCGCGGCGGCGGAGCCGATTAGATAAGCGGCACGTAGGCTGCTACGGGTCTCCTCGTCAAAAACCAGCCCTAGAGCAAGAGCCAGCATCTTGCGAGATCTTGGGCCTAACCTCGACCGCTTCTCAAAGACACGGTAAAAAACTTTTCCTCCTTGGCACGACACCACGATAATGTGACATGCTACCTGCAGCCGATCGAGTCAATTAAAAAGAGTCTGTCTGGATCCGACGTCACGCATTATACGCGTCGAGATGAAAAACCGGAATGTGCAATCGCACGATGCGCACGCGCGGTGAATGTAAACAGCTTGGAGGATGTATTTTCTTTACGACAGGAGTACGCTCTGCTTATTCATTTCCTGGGTCGCTGGCTACATTGCTGACTGTGGCGAGGAATGAAATGTATACGTACTTGGCTGGAGGATATAAACCATTAAATGGTGTGCGAGTGAAACAGGAGGCCGCATAGGAAGTTTTTGGGTACCGCTTAACGCAAACCCGGATAGCTGAGTTTTGTTAACGCTAACTCAGATCACATCCCGCACCCAAGACACAGTGCGTGCATCGACAAACCATGCCAGCACAGTCGTCTCATTCATTTACTGCATAGAAGAAAATAGTCATGTGTGGGCTGTACAGTCACAATTAGTACTTAACATCATTATGCTGCTGCTGTCACGCGTTTTGAAAAAGAGCGGGCAAATTGTCCAAGTGTTTTCTGTTTCGCTTTCGTGAAAGGCGCCCACTTGGGTCAATAGCACTCGAACACCGTGTCCACCTGGCCATTCCATAGCGCGTAAGCGTTTTCGCTCAGTTTCAACGCGCCCCACTCTACAACCTTGCAACGGCGAGAAGATAGCTCTCTTCCTGCGCAAGTGAACGAGGCGCAATAAAAACACAGCAGGCAATTTCGCAACTTGCGAGGTTAGAGTCGCGTCCGCTTGGAGCGCTGCCCTCTGCGCACGCGCTTTATCTGTCCGAAACGGTGGTGATTACTGTCCCGTCCTCACTTCTTGACAAAATCTCTCTGCTAACGGTGAGTGAATGCGTCGTGTTGGCTCGCTACTCTCTGGTTGCCTCTTCGGATGTGTGTGTGCCGTACCTGGACTTAGCGTTAGCTCCGACCACACAGAGGAGAAACTGCATTAACCCGTGCCGCAGCCGACGCCACTGCTCTTTCATTCCTGTCGACCCTTCGGACGGCTCTCAAGTTTTGCATATTTAAAAGCTTTGCACGTCCCCTCGAAGATTTTCGGAACTGCAGCAAAACTCGTGCGAACGCCGTTGCTCGTTTACAACACCCGCAGAATATTCACGTTCCTCACAGTAAACAGTCAAGAGGTGAGCTGTTGACGCTCCGCTGTAGGTCGAGCACCGGGGATACCCGCTTTTGCTTTCCGAATGTATCGCAAGCCGCTCACCTTCACAGTTGCTGCTGCGGTGCACTTTCGGCCGGCGCTTGCTGAGCACACATTACTCACGATGTCCACTTGGCACATCAATGATGCATTTGCAAGAGCTGTGAATCTTTTCTTGTCAGTGACGGCGAGCTTTTTTTCTTGCTGCTTATCAAGTTCTTAGGCTTAGTTTTGAAACTCAGCTGCTGTCTAGAGCCAGTGCTCTGTGCTCGTTAAGCGCGCTGTTAATTTTCTCGTCATTGCTTTCGCGTATCACATGAAGGAAGACGGATATGCATAATCGTGTGCAGCTGTTTCCGTTTTGTGAGCAGACAGGTGCTACGGATCATAGCGCGCATGTAACTTTAGCTGATTCACTGGAAACTGACGCCAGGAAGCTTGCCGGCGATTCTTCGGCGGGCGCTTCTCTGTCTCCGCTTTCGTTGCTACACTCTGGCAATATGCAGTGAATCCGCTTTAATGCGAGCGGTAAAGTGTGCCAGCGCATCGACACAGCCATGCCTCGTTAATTGGAGTGCTTGTTTACGGTTTGTTGGGCAGTGTGAGGAACATATGCGGTTATATGATCAGCGCGTTTATTAGCTGACTGGAAAATGACATCGACTGCACGCAACTGTATCCAAGTGCTGACGACGTCGATTGTTCACGAGTTTGCGCTGGTTGGCGAGCCGCATCTGATATTGATTGCGACAGCCCATGTCGAAAGCGTTTCGCGCTCTGTCTCTCAGGAACATTTACGCTAAGTTAGAATAAATGGGTGCATATCACACGTTTTGCTGGCGCTCGCATAATTTGCCTTGACATGGCAGTATATTTTGACGAGATTGCTTTCGTGCACGCAACTGCTTGATCTCCCCCGTTTATTACTTTCACAGTGTTACCTAGCAGGTTGGATTAGGTCCGTGAATAGCTAATATGCTTCGACATGATCCTTGCTTCATTTCATTAATTACAAAGTCTCATGAGGGTTGTATTTAATAAAACTCGCGTATACAAACAGGATGTAATATAACAAGTCTGTGTACATCTCCTCGTATGCAACTATTTATGATGACTATATCTATTCATAAACATTCATTGTAGTCCTTTAATTAAAACTAACATGCCACATTACCAAGGAAAGTGTAGGGCATGTTGTTAGTAGTAGATGTTATGTAAATGTGTAGAAGGAAAAGCGAACAACACAGTAACTTGCCATGGGCAGGGAGCAGACTTGCAACCCTTAAATAACATGTCCGATGCACTACCAGCTGAGCTACCATGTCAGCTATGCCCCGCCTACTTTTCTTTCTTCACATTTACATCACACTGACTACTATTAACATCATTTATACTTTCCGTGGCAATGTGTCTGTACTAGTTAATATTGTTTCTAAGAAAGAAAAACGACCTCTTAAAATTTCTATTTCGGTCCTTCATTCATGGCGAGGGTGTTGTTCTGGCAGACTTCATGCTTTCAGGTAGTATGCAAGGGATTATTGGTCAGCTTCCAGACTGTTGTAAGATCACATGCTATGCGATGCCAACAGACGGAAAAAGTGTTCCGCACTCATTAAGGCTGCCGACTTACTCTCCCACATTTAAGTGCACATATGTACCCCATAAAGTGAATGGGGTGACAGCCGCTGTGGTATCTCAGTTGATAGAGCATTGGACGCGTTATTTGAATGTTGCTGCTTGGTTCACACTCATCGCAAGTTAACTTTTTCTCGCTTTTCTTTCTTCACACTTACATTACATTTACTACTATTGTAATCTGTTAGTTCTCATTAATATTGTGTCTTAACAAAGAAAAACTATTGCTCGAACCAATGGGGCCTGCGGGGGGGGGGGGGTACTGTTTAGTTAGGCAAGCTAAACAAATACTTTTTTGTTTCTTTTGAGTGAGCCTCAAATCGTGAATACTTCATAACCTGATTAGTATGTACTCTATCCACTTCACCCATTCAGTGGCTATGCCACAGAGTTCTCCAAGAAAGAGCAGGTTTGATATTCGGTCATTGTGCATTTTGATAGAGGAAAGTTTTTGAGATTTTTTGGTCCAAGCTGTGGCTGGTGTTTAAAAGACCACTGACATCAAATTTACTTGTGTGAAGATTTTTGCATTAACGAGGAGCTATCGACCCCCTAGTAGCGATTCGCGTCCTAAAATGCATCTGAGTGATGAATGAGTATCTGTAATATTGAATAATATATTCGCTATCAAACACGGTTCAAAATGGGTGGAAAGACCACCAAATTGTAGTGCTGGCACTGCCACCTCGCGGCCCTGTCTAGGTCACTGCACAGCTGATGCCGCTTTCACAAAAAATGGTTACGTCACACTGGTGTTTCGTCTACTAGCCAGCTGTGTCTCTGAAGGCGTAGACATACCTCTGTCGCCAACATTCATTCTTGCCATTGTTGGGGTCAACATTGGCAAGTGATGATGATAGCGACTTGGGGTATCGCCGCGATTCGCGACAACCCTTGCTTGAAAAGCTCCGCGTTGAATGCAATGTATTTATCAGTCCTTGCTGTACTGTCGGAGCTCAGGAACACCAACTATGCACCTCATGTCGTGGACGTTGTGCGAGTGAATCGCTGCTTTCAGCTGCAGCAGGGCACACAGTAGGTATAGCCTCGGCCTCGAGAAGTGGCCTCGTACTGCCAGTAAAACCCAACCGGTTCATCAACACAGGATTTATCCTGTAGCAGCTCTCCGCAAAGTGAAGGGGGCAAATGCGGCAGTTCTTCACAGGCATCTAGTCCCTCTGTCCAACGGTGCGTAGGAAGTCAACCCACTGGCTGCCTTGAGGTTCGTGACTTGGAAAGTCATGAAACGCCACGCACTTCCCACTTTTTCCATGCCTCGACGTGCAGGTTCTCACTACGCAGCAATTCCAAGACATTCTGGCATGTATTGTCGCTCTGAATTATCGTACTCACATGAAGTGGAGCACAACGCAAATCAGTCGATGCGGCAGGATGAATCACACACATGCTTCAACACAGCAAGGAGAGCCACTAGTGACAGCATGGCTGGGAGTCTGCTCCAAACACACTCGGAGATCCTCGACGTCATCGTTACTAGCGTAACGTCACTCGGGATGGTATTTGTGGATTGTATCACACCAAACAAGTAGCGCTAGAGTCATCGCAGGGCAGTCTATTTTTCGTTTTTTCTTCTTAGCTTTTCTAGGCTGTTTGACGTCGAAATAAAATACCTTCGACGTGACAGACACCATTAAAATTTGGCCAAGAAGACCTATGCATACCAAGTGATCGAATGATGCGCACATTTCGATCTTGAAATTTGATGTCAGTGCTCCTTTAAAGAAGACCGAAGTGTACGAAATGTATTATTTAGTTTACTCACTGGCCGTATGTCTTCTAGATCCTGTGCAAGTTTTTGATGCTAGACACAACAGCGTATCATAATTTTCATTCATTTTTATTGACATGCTGAAAGAGTTCAGCGTTACTGGTGGATGACTGTGAAAAATACACCAGTCACTCTTTCGCACTTGAAGACTGTGAACAGAGCAGCTTAATTTTTTTTGTAATTCCATAAAGTTGTACTTATGATTTCAATCGAAGAGATGTCCATTATCTGTACTTGAGTCAGGTCCAGTAAAGAGTACATTGATAGAAAATTCTGCTCAGTTCTCCTGGCATGATATTAGATAACACGTCGAATGCCTCTTGTCAGTGTAATTAGTTTTATGACTGCCATTGGTGAAAATGTATACAAAATGGCTTGCGTGAATGCTGGGACATTGTGAAGGCAATTTTGCGCAGCAGGTCACTGGGAGCCATACATTGCACTCTGTGGAAGTGAAAGTACCACTTAAAAAGCAATTAATGTAGCGAATTGGCTGTCGTCATCCCTGTTTGTACGGGTAGAGCCTTGGTTGTCTTTTTTTTTTGGACTCTCTGCATTGTATAGCAAATGTGTGAGCAGCAGTCAACAATCTTGCTGCCTGATTGTCAGCTGCACTCTTTTGTCATTGGAAGCCTTATGTGATAAGCAAGGAGAGCTCTGCAAAAGAAAGAAAGCACATTATGCTGGTGCTTTGACATATACCTTAGTGCAAGGCTGAAGTGTAGCTTCTACTGTTAACTTACGCTTTTTGATGTATGGAGGAAAGTTCTTTATGCTTTTCTTTTTGTTCCAATCAGTGGAGCAGGAAAAAAAAAAAGGTGGAGCGTTTTGCCTGTGAAGCTTTGTCTTTATCTGGCTTCACAACTGCAATGAAGGATTAGAAGGAGATAAGGACAGGAATAGGGGAGAAAGTAAGACCTCTAGTAATCAGTTCATAGGTGCAAACACTTGTATTCTTTATACATATCTTCGTATAGTCTCGTAGGTGTACGACATCTAGCGTTTTCAGTTTATTGCCCTACAAATACAATGACATGAAAGCGGCAAGTGTTTGCTCAGCCTTAAGCTTCAGTGCCATCGCCACTTGCATATGTCTAGTACCGTGTGTGGTATTGTGCATTATTCGTTGTTTTTAAGAAGGTCTACACGGTAATAAGGTAGATGAGATATCATTGGTTCTTGTGCTTTATCAAGTGTGATTATCCACATGCACAGGCTTTCATGCTGCATCTGGGTGGGCTTCAGTTGATGGCAGAGTACTAGCTTGGCAGATCATTTAATGGGTCAACTGCAGCAAAATTTCATGTAGCTAAATAATTTGTCACGAGTGTCGTGACCGAGCATACTATACAGTACTGAAGCAATCTCGTCAAGTGAGCAATGTTGACAGCGATGTAGTTTTCTTGTGAGCAGTCTTCACATGGCACTAATTGAGCAATGCACCTATCTGGAATTCGTTTCTGATGTATGACCAGACATGCCACTTTCAAGTTGGTTTGGTGCTTCTTTATTCCAAAAGTTGTGTCGAAATAGCTGTATATATGTCGGATGTTCTCTTGTAATGAGTCATATCCAGTCAGTGGTGATAGCACTGTTTATTTATTTAGTTATTTATGGTTTAGTATTAAAAGTGGCTGCTGTGGTGAACTTTTCACAGTAGCTTCACTCATATCTTAAATCTAGTATTTTGCATGAAGGCTGCTTTTTTGTAACGGCTGTATAAAGCAAGGTTACTTTTGCGTGAGAAAACTTCCTTGCACTTCGAAAGTATTATTGCTCCCAGCATGTTGTTATTGAAAACTAACAAACCAAGGACGATGAAGTGCTTTTAGCAAAGACAGGTCCACCTATCGAAACATTGGCCAGTCTGTATGAGGCACCTTCTCCTGCTCATTCAACGAGCATATGAATTTTAAGAATTTTTTTTTACAAGACACTGAATATATAAGAACACAGTTGCATAGCATAACAAGCTAAAAGGACACATGAAGGAAGTGAAAAGAGATTTAGAGATTGTAGATTAAAGAAGAAATGCTGTAAAGTATTTACAAAAATGTATTTTGTTACTTTTGCAGAAAATTGTTTCGTAGGCAGTCCTTTGATCAAACCATCACATATGTTTCATGATTCGATTGTGGAATCACATTGGGCTTCTATCTGTCAGTTACTAATTGTAATTAATATTTTTTGGAGCAGCGAGTTCAAAGAGTTTGCAAGTGGCTCCATTGTAAGAATTCATATTGTGAAAGAAATGACTAATTTACATGGGGACAAGTGAAGAACACAAAAGGACAAGTGCTGACTGCCAGTGAAGTTTTTGTGTGTACACAAATACATAGCAAAAACCTTTGACGTATAGTATTTGGGTGGGCACGACAAAAGCTTTGCTGCCATTCAGTGCCCATCCTCATGTGTTTTGCCCTTGTGCACGTGTAAATTGGCACATTTTTTTAAATACGAATTTTTTGCGTGGTCTGTAACATACAGCATTTATGCCTTCTTTCATAAAGTTTGTCTTTGCTTCTTGTGCGTTGTGCAGTGTTGCTGTGGGACGAAGCGCGGAATGCACGACACGGGCCAGAGTGAAGGCCACCTAAATGGTGTGCTGCACAGTGAGAGGGTGGCCATCCTGGATGCAGGGGCCCAGTATGGAAAGGTCATCGATCGGCGTATCCGTGAGCTCTGCGTCGAGTCCGTCATGCTGCCCCTGTCGACCAGCGCCAAGACGCTAGTCAGCCAGGGATACAGGTAGGTTGGTTGGAGGTCTCTTCTTTTATGGGCAGAAAGTTCTCTGCATCCATTGTGAACACACAAGATAGAGAAACTTGTGTGAGAGCATTTCGTTGGCTCATTCGGTTGCTGGTGGTTTAGTTTTTTTTTATGGTTCTTTTGTATTTCCCATTTGTCTCTCTCTGCAATATTTTACATGATAATTCAGAACAATTTAGGCAACATTTAATTTCATTTGAAGCTTCTGAATTTGACATTCAATGGTTGGAATCGTGACTTCAGGAAAGCTTCGACACACTGCGTTGAGTTTCTGCTATGTATCTTCTTTTGCTTTTTCATAATTCCTCTTCATAGATAGATAATCCTTTATATGAATGGAAGCATGCATCAAAAAGAAATCGATTTCTGCTCTGTATCTATCTTCTTTTCCTTTTACATAATTCCTCTTCATAGATAGATAATCCTTTATATGAATGGAATCATGCACCAAAACGAAATTGGGAAAAAGTTAACCTAAATTGACCCTAAAACGCCACTCCTAGACTTTGTGGTCTGGAAGTGGCATTTGCGTCGATTTTATCGCTTTTGTGTTTTTTTGGTGGTCATGTTTTGTATCATCCCAAACACACTTAGAAAGAAGTGGGCATTTGAGATCTGATCAGTTAGGTGCCACACTAAGCCCCATCCAGTGGGTTTCTGAGATGCAATTGCCGTTCACCCCAATTTTGACTTCATCTTAATCTCCCTTCTATCATATTGTCACGTAAGAGTGAGGGTAGCCCGAAGACAGGAGACCGGGAGGTTAGTAAAAATAATAGGAGATCCGTTTATTTGGCGGACTTGCGCCCACTAAAGGAAAACAGACGCGCCGGCTTAGCGGGTGGCGAACAGCGCGTTGTCCCACTGGAGTGCAAGGCGCGTTCACCATTCGAGATACAGTCGCCGTAGCGTCTGGCGCTACGGCGACTCCTCGCGGCATTGCTCCCCTCCTCAACGTAAGCATCGACCCGATGCTTTGTTTAAAATAAAACCAAAACAAAAGGACAGCCTGTGCGAAAGTAAATGGCCAATAAGCACGAATCACGCACACATAAACAAAACAAGAGATGCAAACAGGGAGCCTCCTTTAGCGCTGTTAGGAATTTGCTCTGTCGCGATGGTAGCGGTGGCGAAGAGCGGCGAGCCGTCGAGCGGACTTCGTTGAAGCCTTAGCCCGAAGGTAACTGGGAGGCAAGTCGTTTTGAAAACAGCAACAAAAGTAGCGTTTACTGTAGCAGGTTGTCGTTTGTACAGAGCCGGCCAGCACGACAACGTCGGCTGGGGCAAAATCCCCTAACATGGGGCCGGCACGGCCTTAAATAGAGTTTTGGGAGTCTTCTGCGAGACCAGTTCCCCGGAACGGCACAGTGGCTCGGCTGAGGAGATGCAGCCGTACCCGGAATTGCAAAGTGGTTCGGCGGAGGAAGCGACGTTATCTCCGGAACTGCACGGTTCTTCTGCACGGAAGGCGGCACTGGGAGGGAAGGGGAGACAGTTCGTCGGAACAGGGCTCGATCTCGTGGGACGTGCTCCCGAACGAGGAACATGTCTGTGGCACAACAGCGCGCATGATAGGGCTTCAAACGGGCGGCGGGTACCACTTCTTGTCGTGCGCGGTGTCGTTGGGATGAGCTAGCCCCATCAGGGACCACTTCATAGTCCACTTCACCCACTTGACGGATGACTTTGTATGGGCCGAAATAACGGCGCATGAGTTTTTCGCTTAATCCTCGGTGGCGAACGGGCGTCCAAACCCAGACTTTGTCACCTGGCCTGTATGTTAAATCGCGTCTCCGCAGGTTGTAGCGTCTTGCGTCGTTTCGCTGTTGGTCTTTTATGCGCAGACGAGCAAGCTGCCGGGCTTCTTCTGCGCGCTGAAGGTAGGCGGCCACGTCTAGGTTGTTTTCATTGGTGACATTAGGCAGCATGGCGTCCAGGGTAGTAACGGCATCCCTCCCATGGACGAGATTAAATGGTGTCATTTTAGTGGTCTCCTGCACCGCGGTGTTGTAGACGAAGACCACGTAAGGCAGAATTAAGTCCCAGGTCTTGTGCTCTGTGTCCACGTACATAGCGAGCATATCGGCAATGGTCTTGTTTAGGCGTTCCGTGAGACCATTTGTCTGCGGATGGTACGCAGTTGTTCTTCGGTGATCTGTATGACTGTAATGTAAGATTGCCTGAGTAAGATCAGCCGTAAACGCCGTTCCCCTGTCTGTTATTAGTACCTCAGGTGCGCCATGACGGAGGAGAATTGATTCGACAAAAAATTTGGCAACTTCTACGGCTGTGCCGTTCGGAAGGGCCTTAGCTTCAGTGTATCGGGTAAAGTAATCAGTGGCCACTATGATCCACTTGTTACCAGATGTTGACGTGGGGAAAGGTCCAAGTAGGTCCATACCAATCTGTTGGAATGGTCTTGACGGGGGTTCAATTGGCTTGAGAAATTCAGCTGGTTTTGTTGAAGGTCTCTTCCGGCGCTGACATTCACGGCAACTCTTGACGTACCGCGCAACATCTGAGGAGAGGCGGGGCCAGTAGTATCGTTCTTGAATTTTGTGGAGTGTGCGTGTAAAACCGAGGTGGCCTGCAGTGGGTTCGTCATGTAACGCTTGTAAAATTTCTTCTCTGAGGCTGCTTGGGACTACAAGTTTCAAGTTTCAAGTTTATTCATTGCTAAGTACATGAGTACAAAAAAAAAAAAAAATGAGCTCACATAATATATACAGCGTCAAGAGGTCCCAAAGTAAGAAACTGTCAGGGGAACCTCCTATCGTTAATGGGGTACATAAAAGGTAAGTAACAGCAGCAAAAGCTACAAGTGCGAACAAAAATAAAAAGTGCATTCAACACAGAACAATAAATAGTCAAATCGAAAAAGGTAATTTACCAGAACAACATTATACAAAGCTACAAGAATACGTAAAAGCAGAAAAACAAGAAGGTAAGCTGCCTTATTCGGTGCGAAGTTCTTTTTAACTACCACCTTGTTTTGCACACAGAAGGAGGGTATCCCACGCTTGAACAGTGCAGGTGGTATGGAGGCCTTTCCTTCGATGTAGTTGATCAACTGTTGTAGGATCGGGTCTGAGCGCTGCTGTAATGCAAAGGTGCTGCTGCTGATAGGCCCAAGAAAGGCATCGTCGTCTTCATGGCTTGGTGGTGCGCCGACAGGGGCTCTTGAGAGGCAGTGTGCGTCGGAGTTCTTACGACCAGATGTGTAGACTACCTTCACGTCAAACTCCTGAAGCCGTAGGCTCCATCGAGCGAGGCGGCCAGAAGGGTCTTTCAAACTGGCCAACCAGCACAACGCATGATGGTCCGTTACGACCTTGAAGGGTCAGCCATACAAGTATGGGTGGAATTTCGAGGTGGCCCATACTATCGCAAGACACTCCTTCTCAGACGTGGAATAGTTCACTTCCGCTTTCGACAGTAAGCGGCTTGCATACGCGATGACGCGCTCGCAGCCCTTGTGCTTCTGAACGAGAACGGCACCTAAGCCGATGCTGCTGGCGTCTGTATGTATCTCAGTTTCGGCATTTTCATCAAAGTGACCCAGCACAGGCGGCGACTGTAAACGTTGTTGAAGTTCTTTGAATGCCTCACGTTGCTCAGCTTTCCATTCGAAAGGGGCGTCCGACTTGGTGAGCTGCGTCAAAGGGTCAGCAATGTGTGAGAAGTTCTTGACGAAGCGCCGGTAATAGGCGCACAGTCCTAAGAATCGGCGCACTGCTCTCTTATCTTGCGGCTGTGGAAACTGTGCGATAGCGGCTGTCTTCTCGGGATCTGGTCTTACGCCATCTTTGCGTATAACATGGCCAACGAACTGTAGTTCTTCATAGGCAGAATGGCATTTTTCTTGATTCAGTGTCAGCCCTGATGACTTAATTGCGTCCAGTACCGTCCGGAGCCTTTTCAGGTGGTCGCTAAAGTTGGAGGCGAAGACGACCACATCGTCCAGGTATACGAGACATATTTGCCACTTGAGACCTGCCGGTACTGTGTCCATTAGACGCTGGAAGGTTGCTGGAGCGGAACAAAGTCCAAATGGCATCACTTTGAACTCATACAATCCATCCGGCGTGATGAAGGCGGTCTTTTCTCGGTCTCTTTCATCAACCTGGATTTGCCAATACCCTGTCTTCAGATCAATGGACGAGAAGTACCTTGCATCACTAAGACGATCTAGGGTATCGTCGATCCTTGGTAAAGGGTACACGTCCTTTTTGGTTACACTATTCAACCGTCGGTAATCGACGCAAAACCGAAGACTTCCGTCTTTCTTTTTGACAAGGACGACTGGTGCCGCCCATGGGCTTTTCGATGGCTGAATTACATCGTTGTGTAACATTTCCTCAACTTGCTCTCGGATGGCCTGACGTTCACGTGCCGACACACGATAAGGGCTTTGATGGAGAGGGCGGATGTCTTCTTGTGTTCTGATTCGATGCTTTGCCAGAGAAGTGTGTCGGACCTGTGAAGAAGTGGCGAAACAGTCGTCATAACGTCGAAGGAGGTTCTGGAGCAGTTGCTGCTTGCATTGAGGCAAGGAAGGGTTAATGTCGAATGACAGCTGCGAGTTGTGGGTCTGTGGGGTGATGGTCGCTGGATTCGAAAGGGCGAGGGTGTCACTGACTTCCGCGATTTCATCGAGAAAGGCAATGGTCGTGCCTTTGGCCAGGTGACGGTGTTCTTGGCTGAAATTTGTTAGCAGCACTGGGCCCTGTCCATTCCGGAAGTCTGCAATGCCTCCTGCGATTGCGATATCACGGCCAAGCAAAAGCTGTATGTTACCTTCGACGACGCCATGAGCATTTTCGGCAGTACCAGTGGTTACGGAGATTAGGGTCATTATCGGGGTGGGACGCTCACGTCATTCTCGAGCACACGGAGGGCTGCGCGATTATGTGGTGCCGAGTATGAATTTATGGCTTCATCCGAGGAGAGTTTGATGGATCTGGACGCCAGGTCAATAACTGCGTGATGTTGAGTCAAGAAGTCCATGCCGAGAATGACGTCACGGGAGCACTGTGGGAGTACCAAGAAAGTGGCAAGGTATGTGTGACCATCGAATGTCACCCTTGCAGTACATCGCCCCGATGGGGTGAGGAGGTGGCCTCCCGCTGTGCGGATCTGCGGGCCGTCCCAAGCCGTCTTAACCTTCTTCAGTTGTGTCAATGGCCCGCTGATGACCGAGTAGTCAGCTCCTGTGTCAATCAAGGCAGTTACCGGGTGGCCGTCGATAGATACTTCAAAATCGGTGGCACGTGGGCTGGAGCTGCGCGTTGGTTTTGGGTTCGGGTCACGGCTTCGTCTTGTTGCTTCGTTTTGCTTCGTCTCGCGGCTTGGGTTGTTGTGCGTTGTCGTCGTCGTAGATGATGTGCTGTCGTCATATATGGTCGTCGGTGGAGAGTCTTCGGCTTTTCCCCTTAAAGCAACCTCACCTCCAAAGGTTGCTGGTTTTAGTTTCCCCTACGGGGGCTTGGGGACCTTCTTCGTTCGTTGTTGCTGCGGTTCGGTGATGTGAAGCATGGGGATAACGGTGATGGAGAACGGCTGGACAAGTACTCTGTATGGCGCAAGTAGTCTTCGATTGCCGGAGGTCGTTGTCCAGGGCGTGGCCGTGGTGCCTGAGATGAGAAGCCATGCAGTCCCATCCTCCTGTAGGGGCAGTGTCGAAGAATGTGGCCGGCCTCACCGCAGTGAAAGCATAGGGGACGGTCGTCGGGAATTCTCCAGGGGTCGCATTTTTTTTGGCTCGGGCGTCTCTCGTATGTAGGGTGGGCGGGTAAGGGCGGACGGCTACTTGGGGCTGCAGCGTACCGTCGAGGACTGGGCTCGTTTCGTCGGGGTGGCCTAGTGTTCACTGCAGTGGCGTAAGTCATTGCTTTGGCCTCTGTTCGAGTCGTCGCTGATGAAGAGCCAAGCGCCTGCTGGACTTCATCACGCACTATGTCCAAGAGAGATGCTCCTTGGGGGGGCTGGGGGGTAGGAGGTAGCAATCGGGGTAGTTCTTCTTAAACCACTTCTCGAATAGCTTCCCGCAGATCGTTGGTGGTTAGCCCACCTCGAATCGGTTCCGAGTAGAGCGAGTTGAGCTGAAACGGGCGGTTGTATTGCCGAGTCCGCGCGTCCAGGGTCCTTTCTATGGTGTGCGCTTGTTCAGTAAATTCGGCGACAGTTTTAGGAGGGTTCCTTATGAGACCGACGAAAAGCGACTCCTTCACCCCTCGCATTAGGTATCCGACCTTTTTGTCTTCGGTCATGTCTTGGTCCGCTCGCCTAAAAAGACGTTTCATTTCTTCGACGTACACGTTTAGGGTCTCATTGGGCTGTTGGGTCCTCGATTCTAGCAGCAGCTGGGCCCTTTCTTTTCGCATGATGCTGGTGAAGGTCCTGAGCAACTCATTCTTCAGAAATTCCCAGGTGGTCAGTGTGGTCTCATGGTTTTCATACCACGTTTTGGTGGGGCCGTCCAGGAAAAAGTAAACGTATCGCAGCTTCATTTTTTCATCCCACCTGTTTATGGTAGCCACGCGCTCGAATTGGTCGAGCCATTCTTCTGGGTCTTCAGCGGCATAACCATGGAAAGTTGGGGGCACCCGCGGCTGCTGCAGCATGACAGGGGTAGGTGATTGCGGGGTGCTCATGGTGGCTGTGGAAGCGTCCTTTCGTGGTCTCGTGGGGTCCGGTAGCGGTCCCAGCTCAGGTGGCAGGTTAGGGAGGCGGCGACTTCTTCGAGTGTCTGTGCCTTCAGCGTCCTCGTCCTCTGCAGTGGCTGTTTTAAGGTCGTTTTTGTGCATGCATACCCCGCACCTCCACCAGATGTCACGTAAGAGTGAGGGTAGCCCGAAGACAGGAGACCGGGAGGTTAGTAGAAATAGAAGGAGATCCGTTTATTTGGCGGACTTGCGCCCACTAAAGGAAAACAGACGCGCCGGCTTAGCGGGTGGCGAACAGCGCGTTCGACGGCCGTCGGGGAGCAGAATGTCCCACTGGAACGCAAGGCGCGTTCACCATCCGAGATACAGTCGCCGTAGCGTCTGGCGCTACGGCGACTCCTCGTAGTGTAGCGCCTATATACCGCCTTTAGCTTAACCTGTTTCATCCCTTTTATATACACTATTATTTTTTACTTTTATCTAGTTTTTCGTGTAACTTGCACCGGTACTAGACAGGATGATCAGGAAGATAGCAAAAAGCATCACTTGGCACACGTGCGACTAGAAATTCGCATGGGAAGTTCCGCGTGGTAAAGTTGCACGGCGGGAGGAATTGAAGGCCCGGCTTGTGGTTCAGGGAGTATACCAATATGCTTACTTGGTTGAGTTCAGAAGGCCAGGATCCTTTGGACTGTATTGGTAATGCTTCACTTATGTGTACTTGTGCATGTGCCTCGCTCATCATTGAGTGCCCTTCTTTTTCCACAAAGTTATATAAACTTTGCCATATAAGTGCAAGAAGCATTGAGCTGAACCTAATAAAAGAATTATAAACTACGTAGTAAAATTTTATTCACATGCATTGTCCCCCACTTAGTTTACATTTTCAACCCATGACAAACTAGAAGCTTGTCAATCATGGCTGCCTGTATTAAAAGTTGCTGGCTTCGTTTAGTAGTTGCAATATGCAGTTCTTACGATGAAATATCCAGGGCTATCGTCATCTCTGGCGGGCCTGGCTCCGTGTATGCACCCGACGCTCCCAAATACGACCCTGAGATCTTCCAGTGTGGCCTTCCAGTTCTGGGCATCTGCTATGGAATGCAGGTACGTTGTCGCTGGGAGAGGCATCTTCTGCACAATCAGTCATGGCAAAACATGCTAGGTGACGAGGCACAGAGATAAAATTTCAAGTACCCATTGAAAACTGTGGATCGAAAATACAGTGGACTCCCATTAAAGGAAACTTTTATACGGCAAAGCCGCATAAAAAGAAACTATCTAGGCACACTTGGATGGTCTGCTATACATTTAAGGATAAAAAGTTTTGGGTAATTGGAACATTTTTTTTTGCTTGCATCGGTTAAATGAAACAAACGGGCAAAATTCATGAACGGCAGAAGTGGTCGCGGCAGTCTAGCAACCATGAAAACAAATGCCGAAGCTAGTCTAGTCAAGCCAGTCCAGCGATTGCACATGTTCGTGCATGTCGAGCAGCAAACGATGGATTTCGTTTCAGTCTTTTTCGTTTCTATCTCGTCGTGAACTTGAGATGGAAGCAAAGAAAACGGCAGCACAATGCACTTTTGCTCGCAAGGAAAGTAAAAATCATTCAAGAACTTGGCCGCAATGACCTATCGAAGACAGAAATTGTGAAGAAGTTCAATATTCCCAAGTGTACGCTGTTGAGGATACTCAAGAACAAATAGAAAATTGAGGCAGCTGCAAAGCTTGGGAACTTCGCCACGAACAGAATGCGGGTGAGAATGGCGGCATACAAAGAAATCGAAGATGCTCTTTTTCTCTGATTCAAGCGTACGCGCGGTGCGAACTTCAAGATCAGCGGCCCCATTTTCAAAGAGAAGGCCAAAGAGATTGCTACTCGCATGGGGATCAAGTACTTGCGGGTGAGCGATGGCTGTCTTAGCCGTTTCAAAAAGCGGCATGGTCTTGTCTTTGAGATAGTCTCTGGAGAAAGTGCGGCTGCAAAAAGAGATATCTGAAAGCAATATTGGAAACAGTTTTCTTTCTAATCAACTATATAAGTATTGTATACTTTAAAATGTGATTGTTCAGTCAGTCTCAGTTGGTGCTTTTTAAATAGTCATAAAAATTCTCATAAATGGAACAAATGTTCTTGTCCCTTCGAGTTCCGTGTAAGAGGAGTCCACTGTACTAAGTGTGAGGACCAGATATGCTCTTCCTTTAGCAGTCTTATCGGATGTGCTTTGTCAAAGAGTACCAAATCAAACTACCATAGTTGTGATACATGGTAGTTCATGTGTTACTGAAAGGTTTATTGCCTCTTGCAACAGAAAACTCTGTTCTATTTCAGCAGAATAGCTATGAACGTTTACCGAAATTTTGGACGTATACATTTTTCAGACTATCACTGAGTGACACTGTTATGCTGTAAGAACAATTGTTTCAGTATGCAGAATATGAAAGGTTTTAATAGTAACTTTGATAACTATTGTATCAAAACAATTTTTTCAATTTGTGAAATAGTTAGAGCCTGGTCCTTTGGAAGCTGCATAGATTGTTCATAATATTCTTTTAGCTTCTTGACAGATTTTGATGAAACTTACTGAACTTATGTGCATTTGTGTGCCGCTTTAATTTATGCAGTTATTTTTCTGGGACATGTGCAATTTTCAAAATATGAAACATTGCATGTGCTTTTTGGGCAGCAAGAGGTTGCCTAAACTGAGAGAGTTCCAACATAACTAGGCATTTGTCAGAAATGTATTCAGGAAAACAAATATGGATGTTCTCAAGTCATCTGGACAAAAATTGTAGTTGCTGAAAATTTGTGAACAGGCCAACCTCTTGCCGGTATTTCGACCACTAATGTTAAATGTACAATGAATGTTTTGTCCACAAGGTTAGTAATGACGTAGTAATTTTTTGACACACGGTGCTTTTATTGTAGAGTACATTGCTGATATTGCAATCTTGACCTTTAAAGCTATGTCCTTTCTTGCACTGTTTGAATTTCGATCACTTTGTTCACCAATCTGCCATTTATCCCCATTAGATGATCAACCGAGAATTTGGTGGAACTGTGACGCAAAAGGACGCTCGAGAAGATGGCCAGTTCAAGATTCAGGTGGACCAGAAGTGCCCACTCTTCAAGTAAGGCTCGTCATTTTCTCGTTGAGTGATTTGCTTGTGGCACTCTCTGCTGTAACCGTTGAAATATTTTTTGAAGTTTTCAGATTCCCTCCCATTACGGTATTGAGTAAGCTCAGCCATCCACACACTCTTTTGATTTCAGAGGTATGGACAAGGAAGAAGAGGCACTGCTGACCCATGGCGATAGCATTGACAAGCCCGCTGAAAATTTCAAAATCATTGCTCAATCTGGAACAACAGTTGCAGGTGAGGCTTATGCTTTGCCGTGCAATTCATTATTTTTTTTTTTTTTGCCGGCTATTTTATAGAGTGATCTTCACGAAATGTGCGTAGTGGCTTTCGAAGGTTCCAACTCTGCCTCTATTGAAGATGGCTCTCAGATTCCAAAGCTCTGTGGCGTTTTTCTGCTTTGTAGAAGTGCACTCAAGATAGTGGGAATATGGTTCAACAAAGCTTTCTGCTGGGGGACTTCTAGTTTCGTCCATTGGCAGATTTGGAACACATCCAGTAATACTTTCTCCTGCTCCATGTGGAGCAAGTCCATTTCATTGGCGGATTGTGAGTGCTCCCTGTATGTTCTATTGGCATATCTGGGGCAGCTCCGCCGCGAGATGCACTCCACGGAGCAACTTTTCTACTCTGGGAAAATTGGTGAGTTTGACAGAAAGTTTCAAGCGCCCGTGCCTTGAAACTGTGTCAACTTTGGGCGCGCCAACGAACTCTGGTCGCGTCAGTTGTGCCTTGTCTTGGAGCTCACATTTCGCTAGCGTACCGTCGCTATTTTCAGAGTGCCCTCTCAAGCAAGAAGAGAAACACGCGCATGGTGTTCCATTCTGACCCGACCATTTGCTGCAGAGGGAGCACGTGTGTTCTAGGGAGGGCATGTGTAGATTCCCTTCTGTTGTCCTCCGCCAGAGTGGAGTGCTCCGGTGCAGAGTTCGTCGTCCACTCCATGTCCGCCAATCGATGAAAGGCTTAGTTTCTACCTGCAAGGAAAAATGGTTGCACGGCAACTAGACAAGGTTGCAGAAGACAGAGAAGAAAAAAATGGGAATGCTGGCAAACAGGACTTGCAGTACAGGTCAATTTTGAAAGGAGCTCTGTGAATGCATGCACACGTGCTCACCCGCAAAAACGCTCAGTAAATGGATGAAAACATTGTATTGGGCTTCCTTTGCAATACTCAGAGTTCCCGGTGCTCAGCTATTAACCCGAAGCTCACAGGGCTGACCCCGCTCACGGTGGTCGTACTTTGGTGAAGGTTAAAGGACGGTGTACTGCTTGACAGTGCACGTTGAAGGGGCCCTGTAACACTTTTTGAGCTTGGTCAGAAGATGATGCTGTTTGGTAGTCGAAGCTACTGACATCATACTAGCCAATTAATATAGCACGGCGCATGGCATAGAATTTACAATCAATGCTCAGTCAGTTTGAAATTGCTCAGTGATCTCCCTACAAAGGATGCCATATACCAAAATTTTTGCACTTCATACCCATTTCTGAGGTGGTTGGGTCATATGATCGTGCACTGAGTAGTTATAATGGCCGCTGCGGGATGCCGTCGTGCATGTGCACTCACGATGTACTGAAAGGAAGCCATGCTTTTGAAGAAAAACGAGAAGAGGGAGTACTGGAGCTCATGATGCGCGCAAACGAAGGTATGGATTTTCTTGCTGTCACAGAACGAGCGCTAAAAATGGGCGCGCCGCCAAATTGTCGCGACGAAACGCGGAGTGGCGCCGCGAGGTCAAAAGAAAAAGAAAACAAACATCTAAAGGCTCCCCGGGGCGCGCGCTCTCCCCTCGGAAGCGTGGCTTCGCCGACGAACCTCCTTGCCCCACATCGGCGGCCGAGATAGCCCGCGAAAGTTCCAGAACGAAAGGGGCGTGGTCATACCGAGTTGAGTCATCGGCCGCGGAGGGCGTGCCAACCGTCTTGCTCTCTTCCCCAGCCTTCGCTGCGTATCGCGCCGACGAAATGACGAGAACCGTCTGGAATGTCGCGCGCAAGGTATTTAAACGAGCAGCCGAGATGAGAGATCAGGAGAAGACGGAACTTGCGCCAGAGTGCGAAGGGATCCCGCCGTGTAGTCGGCGAAGGTTTGTCCGTAGGGACGAAGCAGGAGATGAAGAGGATTTCCACCTGAGGGGTGAAGGCTCGAGCTACAGGCAAGAGCGTGTGTCTACTGCTATCGAGCGAGGACGCGTGGCAACAGCTGCGTGTGTGAAGCCGACGTGTTCGGGCGAAGAAGTTGGGAGCTTGGAGAGTGGCCAATTTAAGACGCGAGGTTTCCTGGAAGAGAAACTTCGAGGGCGCGGAACGACAACGCTGGACTTTGAGTGAGTGATTCTCGGAAGAGTATCATTCAGACTTTTGTTCCAAGGACTTTGGACTGAATAGGTTTTATATCTCTTTAGTCTTTAAGTGTCTTGGTTGTTCAATGCATGCGACTGCATTGTAGTGCGTATCGTTGTCTGTGTCCGTTGTTTTGAGTGTGGCTGATTGTACTGTGTAGTACGTTGTTTGATTGGTGACGTATTGTATGTAACTATTGTGGAGTGTGCATTCTTGTGTTTGTTTTCGATCTGCCGTTAATGAGAATATAATTTTGTTTGTTTATCAACTCTCGACTCTGACTTGTTCTTTGGACCACAGCCGGCGTCCGCTGGCGCGCCAAAAAGGACCACTTCTAAATTGTCCACGCTTTCGTGGTGCGGTTCGGGGGGCCGATACTTCGACCCTTGGAATTAGCCCGGCGATCGCCTCCCTATTTAACGGGACTTGTGTGACACTTGCCCTCTTCTGACTGACTTCCCCACATAGGTGTCAGTGTACTCGCTGGCATGAAAGGAGACAAAGCGCATGAAGTGTGCGACAGATACACTCGAACCTCAATATAACGAACCTGGATATAATGAAAGATTGGTTATAACAAAGTAAATGAGAAATAGTTTTTCAATAGGTATAGCGTTTGGAAGAAATTTTATAATTCATTTTTGGATATAACGAACTTATCTTTACAAAATTCAACTTTGTTATGATGAGGCTTGAGTGCACCTGGAATGTGTACTCTGTGCATTCAAAACATTTTTTAGGGATGTGATTCGTCAAGCGTCATATGCTATTAAAGCAACTATTTTTTTGTATAACTTGGAGAAGCATTGCAGGGCCTCTTCAAAGAACCACAGGTGGTCGCAATTGTTGGAGCCCTCCACTACGGCGTCCCTCATTCGCATCGTAGGACATAAAATTCTAGATATTGTATTAAGAGAGTTACTGGCCGCATAGCTTGTTTCTGGCACAATGCAGAAATCTCATGTTTGTGTTTCAAAGAATATTTCTGGGCTTCCATTCTGGTCAGGACAGCATTTCTGCATTAAGATTTTGTAGACGGCAGCCTTGAAATCAGGAGCAGTCTACAAAATCGGGACTCCTTTGTGACTAAAATGTAAATAAGATTTCTTGTTTTATAACGGGTGGCTTTCCTTCATTTGTCTAAATATTGTGCACCTCCTCAGCAATCGCCAATGAGAAGATGAAGCTCTACGGTGTCCAGTTCCACCCCGAGGTCGATCTGACGCCCAAGGGCAAGTCCATGTTCTCCAACTTCCTCTACGACATTGCTGGCCTCTCGGGCAACTTCACCCTGCAGAGCAGAGAGCTCGAGTGCATTGAGTACATCCGAAGAACTGTGGGACAAAGCAAGGTCTTTGGTAAGTATCAACTCGCACCTTTTTCGTGTTTATCTACAGGTAATTGCTTGGGCTCATGAAGACACCCATAAGGCAAATGCTTTTCGTTTTACCTTTCATGAGCAATATTCTTTTGCTAATTTGGTAACTCCATTATTCCCTGTGTCCTTTAGATGCTGGTGAGTGGCGGCGTGGACTCGACTGTGTGTGCTGCTCTCCTGCACAAGTCCCTTCGGGAGGACCAGGTGATAGCACTTCACATCGACAACGGCTTCATGCGCAAGGATGAGAGTGTACAGGCAAGGCATGCTTCCCATCGAATGCCACTTTTACAGAGTGGGCTTGCATGTCTGTTATAGGTGTCTGTTCGGTGTTGACTTCCTAGCATGTGCTTTCCACGCCTTTCTGTTTCTGACCAGGTGGAGCAGTCGTTGAGGCAGCTTGGCTTGCGCCTGAGAGTAGTCGACGCGTCGCACCAGTTCTACAACGGCACCACTACGGTGCCGATTGACCCCAAGGACCCGCAGCGAAAGCGTACCACCAAGATGCTTTGCCAGACGGCACATCCCGAGGAGAAGCGCAAGATTATTGGGGACACCTTCATGCGGGTACGTGCGCCGCTAGCTTTAGTACAGTATTGGCTAAGATAATTGAAACAGCTGATCATGCATTTGCACAGACTGTTATTGACTGGTGAATCACTTCAGAAGAAGGATACTTAGGGCCTCTTATTATGGATCGCCGAGATTAGTGATGGTGAATGCCTTTAGGCTGAGTTTTTCTCTTCGAATTCTACTCATATTTTTCTTTTCCTTTGTTATCTCTTCTTATCATATCTTATCAGTTGTCCATCTAGTATTATATATGGGCTTTTGAATGCTGTGATCTACTGTTATGAATGGTTATCCATCCACATAACTCTCTATTTTTGCCTGGTGTTGTCGTTCTCTAATCCTATTTCTCTCTTTGTTCGTCTTTATTATATACCGTAATTACTCGAATCTAACGCGCACCTTTTTTCCGGTTAAGCGAGTTCATAAATCGCATGCGCGTTAGAATCGAGTACGAACAAAAAAATTACGGTCAATCTATTGCCATCGCAAATCCAAAATGGCCGCCCCCTACGTGCGTTGGCATGGTGCGTCGGCTATTTCTGCCTATGTGTTTACCATGTGCGGCACTTCGTACGTGTGCTGAGAAGTTCGTCATCTAGTAGTGCATTAGCATCGACGACTTGGAAGGGCCGACTCCAAAAAACTCGAGTGCACCACGATGCCGCTTTTAAAAGAAAAGTCATCGCGTGTGCAGAAACGGACGGAAATCGGGCCGCATCGTGGTCCTTCTCGAAACGTGCGTGCGGGACCGGCGGAAACAAAAAGCAGAAGATTGTGGACAGCAAAGCTTCACGCAAAGGCTTCAGTGAACCACAGCAGGGTCGGTTTCCGCAAATTGAAGAGCTGCTCCGCGAGTATGTGCTTGAGGAGCGAGTGGCACAGCGGCCCATGACGACAGAACTGCTCCAAGTGCGGGCTATGCAATTAGTCTTAGAAAAAAGTCTAATGCGGAGCCTGTTTAAAGCGAGCAGGTGCTGGCTAATTAACTATATGAAGAGGAAAGGCTCTTCCCTCCGAAGGGGAACATGCATATGCGAAAACTTTTGCGGAGAAGTACGATGAAAAGCTTTACAGTTTTCAGAGGTTCGTCCTAAACTTGCGGCGCAACAACGGCTACCTGCTTGGGCAAATCTGGAATGCCGATCAGACGCCTCTTTACTTCGACATGCCTGGCACCACAACTGTCGAGAAGAAGGGGGCGAAGCAAGTTCGCGTGCTGACATCGGTCCACGGTAAAACTACAGTGACGGCAATGCTCTGTTACACGTCAGATGGGCACAAGCTTCGCCCGTACCTCATATTTAAATGGAAGACAATCCCGAAAGGAATCGTTTTTTCGAGTGGTGTGATCGTGCGGGCCAGCAAAAAAAAATGGGTGCACGTTGCAATCGATGTCTTACGTTTTTTTTTTTTTTTTCGCGGTGGAAATCGGGTGCGCGTTACAATCGAGGGCGCGGTAGAATCGAGTAAATACGGTATATAGTGTGACGCTATGATGGCTGGGAGACGTGGCTTGGCTCACACGCCATGTTTATTCTGTTCTCCACTTCTTTCTCATCTACTTCTACCAACCATCACTTTATACGTCACATATAGTTACCTATTTCTTTATATGTCTCTGCCTCTGTCGGCCCAGTATGTTGTACTTATATCAATACCACTGAATTGGTCCTACTAACGTAAATTGGGGTGCAACATATTGCATACACTATGTGCTCAGATTTGGGTGCACGTTAAATAACCTGAGGTGGTCGAAATTTCCGGAGCCCTCCACAACGGCGTCTCTCATAATCATATGGTGGTTTTGGGACGTAAATCAATCAACATACTGCATATATAGCACTTGTCGCAATTCTTTATTTGTGATACCATGTGTGTCGTTGCTGAGAGAGATCACATTCCCCGTCTCAGAAAACACTCGAGACCTCAATAATTGTTGGCCTTGGTGCCATCTTGGCCATTACAGGTGGCCAATGAAGTTATCAGTGAGCTTCAGCTGAACCCGGAAGAGGTGTTTTTGGGCCAGGGAACACTGAGGCCCGACCTCATCGAGAGTGCCTCACACCTGGCTAGTGGCCAGGCTGATGCGATCAAGACTCACCACAATGACACCGATTTGGTGCGGCAACTGCGGGCACGGGGTCGTGTTGTGGAACCCCTGAAGGACTTTCACAAAGACGAAGTTCGAGCCCTCGGCAGGGACCTGGGCCTGCCCAGCGAGCTTGTACAGAGGCACCCCTTCCCTGGTCAGTGACAAGGTCATTTGTATTCTAATCGAAATATGCGGCTGTAATATAGTAAAACCTCATTAATTATAACTCTGTTATTTTGAAATCCCTCTTAATTCGAAGGATTTTCGCGGTCTCGTATTTTCCAAAGTAAATTATAGGGTATAACTTGAAGTGGTGGCCGGCACCTGTTCGGTTAATTTGAAAACTTTGGGGGCCGTGTGCCAGATCCAGAACCCGATTTTGCCGCGAATCCGCAGAAACGACGGCCAATAATTGCCACAAGGCAATGCAACGTATCGATACTAATGAGTGGCAGCTGAAGCACCCCAGTCTCGCTACTTCTAGTGCAAAAAAAAAAAAAAAGAAAGAAAAAGCGGTTTCGTAGACAACCAAAACGTATGCCTACGGAAAACGAGCCGTGGTTCACTGCAATGCAGCGGTGACACATGGCCAGCTTATTGCATGTTTCTTGCAACGTCAGCGGGTCATGATTTACCTATTCTTTCTAAGATTGTAAAGAAACTAATAAAGAAAAGTTTTGCGGAAATCGCGTTGTATGCGAACCTCCGATTGCCGGTAGGTCCAGCGCCCCGCCGCGGTGGTCTAGTGGCTAAGGTACTCGGCTGCTGACCCCCAGGTCGCGGGTTCGAATCCCGGCTGCGGCGGCTGCATTTCCGATGGAGGCGGAAATGTTGTAGGCCCGTGTGCTCAGATTTGGGTGCACGTTAAAGAACCCCATGTGGTCGAAATTTCCGGAGCCCTCTACTATGGCGTCTCTCATAATCATATGGTGGTTTTGGGCCGTTAAACCCCACATATCAATCAATCAATCAACCGGTAGCTCTCGCAATTCGCGTGTTTGCACTGCTGGCAGAGTTCTTGCTAGCAACACCTACTTCGTAAACCAAGTTCGAAAGTTTCAAAGTCATTTTTTTCCAGCCAGAACACATCGTGATCTTCGTCTTGTACCGGCCATTATTAAATTTAGAATGTTCGAATGGTTGCATCATCACGTGCTGACGCAGCGAAGAGCAGGCAACATGCTGGTCACGTGTCACTACTGTGTTGCAGTGACGATGTTTTGTTTTTTGTTTTCTGCAGGCGCAAATTTCAGTCTCGCATGACCACATTTTCTTTTTTTTTTTCCTGGTAGCAGCAGCGAGGTCCACTGCTCCTTTATGTTCGCGGCAAAATAAAGACCAGGTATTGCTGGAAAACATAACCTTTGGAGCCACAAGCTAGCCGGCACTGCAAACGACGAGCACCTACTTGAATGGTTCCATGTTCCTTGCCCCACTTTTTGTATGTTCTGTTAATTTGAAAACCCACATAATTCGAAGCTTTCTCGCGGCCCCAGTGGCTTCAAATTAACGAGGTTTTACTGTATTTTAAATAATTTATGGTTTAAAGGTCTCTCTTTTTTTTACCGCGATAGCGGACACTTAGTGGATTTTCGAAGTTGTTGTCCTGCGACGTACATGTATGTGTATATATAAAAAAGGCACAAAGAAAAATTCACAAGAATACAATCTCGAAGCGCCCCACAGAGAATTCGAACCAGTGACCCCTCGTTATGTGGCATGCCGCCTTTGGCAACCCATCCATGCACTATATTTGCACCGACGTAATAATGGCAGACTATTTATATCTAAATATAATGAAATTGACAAATTCCCGTGAAAATTCGTTATAAAGGGTATTTTATTATATGGAAATTTAGTACCAATATTCGAAAAATGAACGCACAAATGAAGCAACAGCACTGAGACAGAGCTAACCCAAAAGACCTAGTTAGTGGTAAGAAACTGCATTATTGCGATAGAAATTATGTGGACACTCGGCAGGATTTTGCCGTCGCCACCATGACCCGTAACAAGCTCAAATTGAGAACATGTCCCCGCGCATCGTCAGTGCCTCGAGTAGCAACCGAGAACTTCGAATTTAAAAGGCCGAAAATCGCGAAAAGATCGACTTGTTGAAGCTGACATTTTCGAAATCTGTGCCTATTTTTGCACTTAAGTATCTGAGAAGTTTCTAGCTTCTCGCGTCATTATTTCTGGTGCAAAATCAATTTATAACATCCCTGTGAGATGAATGTGAGCGCAAATTGACGCTAAAATCGAGCTTATTCCGCGCCAAACTGTTGCTGTTACACACGAGCTATTATGTTCATCTTGGTGTTGTTTGGAGGGGTCGTTCTTCATCTTCAATTTGCCACCACCGCTGGCTCACCTTGCTCATTGGTTTTTTAGCCAAAACGCGTCATCGAGAAGCACTAGCGCGCGATTCAATTGGCTGCTTGGGGCACGTGACCAAATTTAAGCATCTGATTGGCCAAGGGGCGCTTTCGGCGTCTGCTTCAACATCGTGACGCGCACGGACATGTGCCATTTTGTCATAGTGCTACTGACTGCTTGTGGCAGTAAAGAAGTTCCATGCTACAGTAATTTGTGAAGCGGGGGTGGCGGTGGTTTGTTCGCTGTGAACTTCAGAAAAGATCCCCGCTATGGCTCAGGACAACGAAGCTTTCTCGCGGCCCCAGTGGCTTCAAATTAACAAGGTTTTACTGTATTTTAAATAATTTTATGGTTTAAGGGGGGATGTGGCATTGAAAAAAAACTTTTTTATTTATTGACCTACAGCAATGAAATTTGGCATGCATATTCATAAGTGTCTAGAATAGGGAATGTGCAGTTTCATCATGATAGCTTCAGTAGTTCTCAAGTTACATAATGCTACACGATCCAATTACATGGTCTGCTCGTGGAAAGCCTAGCGCTGCAACAAAACATGCCAGGAAGCTGCGAATGGTGTTGATCTTTACTCAAAAGAAAGCTACAGGGTATGACACTCTCAGAATTTTTTAATAAGTTCTCTTTTTTTTTTTAGAGATCATCATGGCTGCCGACACACATTGTCAGAAACAATGGCACGGACAAATCATCGTCTAAAAAAATAACAGGGCCACAAAACAAATTGAAGATTGCTGTACCCACGAGCTGTGTTCAGGGATTCAGGGAAAAAAAAACAGAATCAAAATCGGTCCAGTCATTCTCGTGCTACTCTTTCCACGAGCAATGCACAATGTCCAAAGCACACTTGTGAGAAAAAGCCTGTCGAAGTTTTCGACAGGCTTTTTTCAATGAACTTTTTTGTTTCTCGTTGGATATTGATGAAAATTGGCACAGACACTAAGAATAACCTCACAGTGCTTCCATAAAAATTTTGAAGCGATACCACGAATACTTTACGAGAAACAAATTATTTCTTCATTGAACCATGTGGAGGGGCTGAGCATAATGTCAAAAAAAAAAAAAAAACTGTATTGAGAAAGCTGCGTTTAAAGTTTCAACTTTTCTTTACGTCTTTAAGACACCTAAAAATTGTGATCTCAGGTTTGTCTTGTGATATTTGACTTCTTTTCATGATTTACTCCTTTTCATGAGTTACAAAGAACAAGTATGGATTTCAAACCAAGTTCTTTGTATGAAGGAGTGGTGTGATAGGTATGACAGAAAAGATTGTAATTGAATAAAACCACATACTGAAATTATTACACACTTTTTTTGTGCTGAAGTTGTAATTAGCGTAATTAAGTACTTGATTACAAATATTCACTGAACTTTTCTTTTATTTGGAGAGAAGTTTATTGCATCAGAAAAATGGATCACACCATGACGGCCTATGCCTTCTTTCTAAATAACAAAGTTATGGGGAGAAGACTGGTGGCATGGGAATTTCTAGCAGTATAATTAATGACACAAAACGGGCATATAAAAATTCGTGCCCCTGATTCACACATGCTCTTTCGCCGCTCTAGCCGTGAAACGCATCATCTTACAGCCGGTCGCGGAAACTCTAATCTACAGCAATTCATTAACCTCGGAACATTCATACACGTTCGTGGCGATATCAAGCACGGCTCCAAGCACGTCTGAATCGCATCACAAAAGCTTATTGACAGCACTCCATATGACCGTGGGGTGCGCGGCCGCGTGGACAGTGCAACCGGCGCGTAATGCACTTGCCGGCGGCGTTCGATGACGATGCGCAAAATGTGTAACTACGAAGACAAAAAAATCGGCACGCACTGGACTTGGCATCGCATTTTCGAATGACGACGCGCGAAACTGCTAGCCGCTGTTCCGAGCGATCCTTGGCAGTGAAGAGGGGGGGGGGTGGAGGTGACGAGCTTGACTGTGTTGTCCGCTGCCGATGCGTAAAATGCCCGTACAATATTCAGAGGAGCTAGCGAGTGATGTACATTCCTTGCGAAGAAGCACGTCACCAAGAGTGCGCTTGCGCGTCGTTCCTGCCCACAGTCTCGCTGTCAGCGGAGTTAGGCCTAAAGCCGACTCCGATGACGCGCTGCACTCGTAGACCGCCGCGCGCCCACTCGTAGTAATCTGATCGTGCATCCGGTGCGGCCACTTACAGCTTCGTTGTTTGCGAAGAAGCACGTCGCCACGAATGCGCTAAAGCGTCGTTCCTGCCCGCAGTCGGCGGAGTTAGGGCTAAAGACGACTGCAATGATGCGCGGCGCTTCCCCGTCTCAGAAAACACTCGAGACCTCAATAATTGTTGGCCTTGGTGCCATCTTGGCCATTACAGGTGGCCAATGAAGTTATCAGTGAGCTTCAGCTGAACCCGGAAGAGGTGTTTTTGGGCCAGGGAACACTGAGGCCCGACCTCATCGAGAGTGCCTCACACCTGGCTAGTGGCCAGGCTGATGCGATCAAGACTCACCACAATGACACCGATTTGGTGCGGCAACTGCGGGCACGGGGTCGTGTTGTGGAACCCCTGAAGGACTTTCACAAGACGAAGTTCGAGCCCTCGGCAGGGACCTGGGCCTGCCCAGCGAGCTTGTACAGAGGCACCCCTTCCCTGGTCAGTGACAAAGTCATTTGTATTCCAATCGAAATATGCTGCTATAATATAGTAAAACCTCATTAATTATAACTCTGTTATTTTGAAATCCCTCTTAATTCGAAGGATTTTCGCGGTCTCGTATT